TTTTCTATATATTATATATATATATATATATATATATATATATATATATATATATTATTTTTTAAGTGTAAACTAACATAAAAATTTTCATCTATAAATTATTACATTTTTTAAAATAAATTTTAGGAGTCACAAAAACATTTTTATAATAATTTTGATGTTTTTTAAAATAATGGGAGAATCATAGCCCCTCCATATTCTCCCTCACTCCATATATACAATTAGGGTTAAGACAAAGACATATTACATTATTTAAATATTTTAAATTTTAGATTACGATTAGAGTTTTATGGTGTCTGTGCTTCTCACGAAAACAATAACACCATTAATTTTTTCTTTCTTTCAAATAATGTGTTAAAAAATGTGTATGTTAAAATTTATTGACACATAAGCATGAGATATATATGCATGTTCTTCTTCTTTTCTTATTCTAGTCCACTCATTCGGTCACTCCTTACTCCTTCCGATTTTCCAACAACATTGCTGAATTCATCAACTTTCATGAGTATTCCACCTCCACTTAAGATTACTTACTAACTTGGATATGAATGAATGATGTTGTGGTTCCAAATCTGGATTGTTCAACCCAATTAAACTGAAGCCAAGATGGCGGTCAGTTATAAAATTAAAATTATAAAATTTATAAAATTAGAAGATTAAATGTTAGTTATTACTGTATTGATTATAATTTTATTGGTGGGTGAAAATGTGAGTTTAATTGTTTGTGTGAAAGTGGCGTTGTGGCGAGGTATGCATTGGCGTTTGATTAGGCGCTGAAACGCTTAATTAAAGTAAGAATGGAATTTAAAAAGGGGCCGACTTTTGCAGTGCGGCAAATCGCCTACGTGGTCAAATTGTGGAAACGTGGCAAGCCAAGATACATCGCTGCTTATTATCAAAGATGTCCACTAGTGAGCTGGCATGACACGTGTCACTCATCTACAATCTGTTTGCTTCTCCTGCTAACCAGTGAGTGATTTGATGATACCCTCCCTCTCCCTCTCCCTCTCTCTTCTGTTCGGTTCACTCTTCCCACCGTTTCAATAATATTCACACACACTCTCTCTCTCAGTATCTGTTTGTTTTCTCTGGTTGCGGCATGAACGTCACCATGGATGCGGAATCAGAGAAGCGCTCTGCATCCACCTCCTATTCTACTTCTCCGTCTTCCTCTTACTCGTCTTCGTGCGACCGTTTGGATCGGCTCCTCGACACGGAGGAGATTGAAGCGGCCGAGACTCTGGCGCACTTGGCAATGCGCGAGACTCACTCCGCCGATAAATGGTGCAACCAACCCCGAGTCACGCGCGACTCACCGACTCAACACTCGGAATCGGATCTCTCGCACTCTCCCCTTGGCCCTGGGGTTGGTTTTCTCTCACTATTCTTCTTTAATTTAATCGCATAATTTCAGCCCAATTTCAACGCGCATGACCACTTCACTACGCCGAATAGTACTTCTACTATTGAATTATAGTATTCTATGTTTTTATGCGCGACTCCAACTTACGCGCAACTCTATGTTTATATATATCATTTTTATATCGGTGATATGTAACTATTTCAATTTCAATTATATTAAGTGTTCCATAATTGATCAGAACCATAAACAAATTAATAATGCTTCTTCCGCGGTTCTGAACCGGACTTAACACTTAACAGTAGGGACCAGTGTTTATCTATTTAAGACTCACCGATCGTCTGGATTGCGTTTTTCGTATATATTTAGAAATAAAGGAAGATAGTTCCACATTCTTTTGTCATGACTGGTTAAGTTTATTGGTTTTGTAACTTTTGTTAGTATCGGCTTTAGGACTGAAAGTCACTACTAGTGAACTTTTTTTTTTTTTTTTTTTTACTAAGAAAGAAAATACTTATACTATCAATTTTATGTGCACATGCATAACAAATGATGTGTACTGAATTTTTAACAAATTTCTTATCAACGACTTACATTATTTATTTTATTCTTAGAGGAGTTAATCCATGTCACATTATATACATCTATTTTTGGTACTCTGCTAAGTGGACATTCCTACGATAAAATTCATGTCCATGCCCGCAGTAACAATTTTATGGCAATGCTAGTGCCTATGATAAAACAAACTAATAACACCTAATATTTGTTGCTTGAATTTATTTCCATTTTTTTTAATCTGGTAATATTAGGAATACCTAGTGCGACGCTTTGTTAATGTACATCCATGCGTGCGTAACTGTATTTTCTTCACTTTCTTTTGGTTTCCTCACTTTTTATACTATTGATTAACATTTATGTCCCTGCATTTTCTGGAGAAATATAGAAACTTTACATGGTCAAATATTTTAATTTTCCTTGGTATAAAATTGGATAAGTCAATTAACTAGAGTTCGTTCAATAATTAAGAGAGTATCACCAAGTTGTAACATTTTATGCAGGAATTTAGAAATGGTTTAATTTATGGCAGGGCCAAGCTATTGCAGGTCAGCAGCTAGATGAAAAAGTATCCACTACTACGTCTGCAGAAACAGAACGTATTCAGCAGGATGCCTGCTCGAGA